AATGGTCGTTAACGTGGGGCAAATTTCGCACGGGAACGACCGTCTCGCTTAAGCCATGAAAATTTCAGAGTCGACTGTCCTCGTAAGTCGAGAACGACTCGTACGGAGGTTATAACCCACACACCATGCTGGCTGGGGATTATGGCTGTTGTAGTCCAAGCACTGCCCGCTTGTCCGAGGTCAGAGAAGTTAGTTCAATGTTTCTCAACCTTGGCAACTTGAAGATGTCTGGACTTCAACTCCCAGAATTCTGGCTGGGGATTATGGCTGTTGTAGTCCAAGCACTGCCCGCTTGTCCGAGGTCAGAGAAGTTAGTTCAATGTTTCTCAACCTTGGCAACTTGAAGATGTCTGGACTTCAACTCCCAGAATTCCCCAGCCAGAATTCTGGGAGTTGAAGTCCAGACATCTTCAAGTTGCCAAGGTTGAGAAACACCGAGTTAGTTCCTTCTCACACCTTGGCGTCTTTCCAGAAGGGTGGACTTCGACTCCCAGAATCCCCCAGCCCTTCAACTGTCCAAGCATGAGAAAGGCTGGGGAATTCGGGGAGGGGGACCCACAAGCTTTGGCTTAAAGGAGGGAAAAGTCCATCTCCCCCTCCCAAAAAAGAAAACTCCAGAGCAGCAGCTGAGTCAGACGGAGGGTTGTTGAGCCAGGGGGAAGCTTTGCCGAGAACCAGATGTGGGGCAGGGCAGCTTGTGCTCCTCCCCAGCATCAGATTACAGATGTTCCCCAGCAGCCGAAGCACCTCCTGCCCGCCACAGTGCCAAGTCAGCAGGAGAGCCCCTTCCCGGCATGGTTCCTAGGACTAGTGGGTGGACAGGGGTGGGGTGGGGACGGGACCCTCCTTCCCGGCTCCCTGCCCAGCATCTGGCTCAGGAGGGAGAGGAGGGGGCCAAGGAGGGCTGTTGCAACATCCGTCCGAATTTGCAACAGGCGAGCTCTCGGGCCCGGCCCAACCTTGGCACAGGATGCCCACGTGGGCTTGGCTTGAGGATATAAGAGGGGAGAGCCTTGAAGGGGGTGGGGAGGAAAGCCCACCCCCACCCCCAGCCCATTCTTCCTCTCTCCCTGCAACTCAGGCAGAAAAGATGCTCTCTTTTCCCAGCTTTTAAACCCAACAAAAGATATTAAAATGTCAGAAATAGAATTTTGTTTCCCAGCAGGATTGTAGGCAGAAGAAGAGTCGGCTGAAACGAAAATCTTTTCTCCTCCTTGCAAAGGGGGAGCAAAGAATCAAACCAGCTCTTCCTTGTTGTTGTTGTTGTTTCTGCCAATGACATGGGGATGCCCAGCGTCTCATCTTCCTGGGCTACTCCTCCCCTAGAGAAAATACATACCACCACCCACCACCTCGGGCCCATATCCTAGAAATGGCCAGGCCGGAAAGAAAGATGCCAAGGGAAACATCCTTCTTTCTGAAGGGGCCTGTTGGTTTCCTAAGAGCATGGAAACACCAGTGTTTTTCAGCCCAATATATAATGAGATAAATAGAGACGGGCATAGATGATGCCAGGATCTGTCATAAGTCATTCCCCCCCCCCCCAAAAAAAAACCTTTATAATTTTGGTCGCTAAATGAGTAGTAACCATATACTTGCTGAGCTACCATGGGACACAGGGGGGGGGGGCTCCCTTTTTTCTTTTTAACAAAATGTACCCTCCCTAGTCTCTCTTCCAAACACAGATCCAGT